AATTTTGGTTTAAATCAAACAAAGTTTAATTTTGGACCATTTGGACCTCAATGTGAACCAATTTGATAATGGGCCCAATATCTAAACACACAGTTTGATTATATAAAAAAACCCAAAGAATTCAATTTTGGGTTTAAATCAAACTTAGATTAATTTTGGACCCTTTGGACCTGAATGTGAACCAATTCGAAAACAGAAATACACAAACATGGTAACAGATTCAGCATATTAAAGAACCCAAAGAATACATGATTCTCATCGAAATTGAAATTGGTCAAGAAACAAATAATGTATACAAAGTATTGGTGTTTGTTTGGTTCCTAATTCATAAACAGTTTGGGCCATAATCACCAAAATCAATTCCAACTTTCCCGTTTTGGTTTGAAATCTTGTATAATAATTTCATAGAAATCCATAAAACCCCGGAAAATCGTTTTTTTAACCTTTATTCCTAAACTGTTAGGGCAATAACCCCAAATTCAATTCATACCTTGCTTTTGTGGTATGGGACCTTGTGGTTTTATTTCTTTGAGATCTATACACTTATACTCAAGTTATTGTCTGGAAAACATATGTCTACAGACCACATTGACGACATATCTACACCATTATAAAATGGCAAAAGTTTTGCAGTCTATAAAAACTTAATGTTGACCACACTTCAAAAAAAGGCGAAGGTCAGATGTATCTCATCAGACAATCATATTCACATTACAATCATTCTGTACACCATACATTGTTGACCTAGAGAATCTGACCGAGAACAGACCAAATCATGGAACCTAAATGATGACCAAATGGTGCAGGATAAGCCACTCAAATTAACAAATTTTTCGTAAACCTTTTTCTTATCCCAATCCATGCAATGTAATACAAAATATATCTCTTCATGTGAGAAATAGATCACAGGCAATAACCATAAGAGAATTATTTGTCCTTATTACACATAAAAACTGTCAAATTAATTTGAAAACAAATAATGTACACATACCCTTAAAAATGGAATCAAGATAATGTTCATATGCCAGATTAAACCAGACCATAAGGCAACTGCATACAAATATGGATTAACTCATTCTTCTTTAGTCTGGATTATGAAGTTTTATATCAGGAGCATCCACTGCTAGATCTGTATCCCTGTGTTTTGTATCTGATGAGCCTTTATATAAACTAGATCATTTTAGAATTCTAGATCTATTTAAAGACTTGGCAGCCAATTAGGTAATCAGCAAGTCCAATGAACATTTCTGTCATGTAATTCCTAAGTATCATTTGTGTCAAGTCTTGTTTAAACTAGCAAAGAAGTTTCTGTGACATTTAAAACTCAAAACATGTTGTTGAAAGATACCAAGAGATGGAAATATAAACTGTTGACACAGATATATGTCTTGCGTTTTTTGGTGGTATAATGCAAATGTTGAAAATAAATTGCAATATTTAAACTTATCTATGCAATGAACCATGACTGACGGTTCAGGGCAAAATAAAAACACCATGGAAATGCTAATGCTTATAAAACTGCATACCCAACACCATTGACTTATCAATTGGTTCCTTGTTAAACTGTGAAAGTTTCAAAGTCCATGAACCATGATAAGGAAGTGGGACCAAATAATCTCTATGAAAATGAGACTTGCAAATGCCAATACAACTGCATACCAAATATCAGATATTAGTCACTCATCTTAAACTGATCTAATCACAAATCACATGTAAATAATGCAAAACATTCAGTCAATAAACCATGACTGACGCTGGAGCTGAACAATCTCTATGGATCTGAGATTTGTCAATGCTTATACATCTGTATACCAAATATCATTGACATACCACTCATAGTTCCCTTTCAATTGACCTAATCACAAACTTATACATGTAAACTAATTAAAAGTTTTAAGTCGACTATGACTGAGGGAAAGAAGCAAAATAATCTACTTAGAAATAAGATGTTTCAATGCTTATATAACTGCATACCAAATATCATTGACCTACCACTAGTTGTTTTCTTTAACTTGAACTTTTCACAATCAAATTCATTGTTGAAGCTGCTGCTTATGGAAAAAGCATGCCAAGTCTCGCTTTTTCAACTTTGTCCATACCATACAATAAATCAGCTGTGTGTTACCCTTGACCAAAGAAACCTCTTCCCCCTTTATTTGTCATTCAGACTTAAATAAAATATAAGATAGGTTTTCTCAATTAAATTTTTATTTACCTATTTATTTATATCATTATCATGCATCATAATATAAAATACCCAAATGAAACCAGAACCATTCTGCTCCATCAAGTGTGTACAAATACCAAAGAAATTGTAATAATAATAAGTTTTTTGTCCCTTTTAAGTAAAAGGAGGAAAAGGATCCGCATCATGGGTAAGGTATCATTGGTTAAATATTACAATTATACAAAATACCTGACAGTGCTGAGGATTCTTTTTAGTTTCTTGATACCAGTTCCCAGACAAGCTGTTTAAATAGAATTTAGAAAATCAATTCTGTTCTGAGATACATGTCTTAAATTTTAATATCCTTAGGTCTTAAAGGAATATTTTTTTTGCTCAATATTAAACTTGGTGCTTTCCAATACTTTTAAATACCAAACTTAAAATAAATTTATATAATTCCATAAAATATATGAATCCTCAGTTTGTCACATACGAAGAGGCATTTACAAATATAACAAGGAATACAATGGTAAATACTAAGATAAAAAATGCATAAAAATACATGAATCAAATTCATTTATGAGGTGTACTCAATTTATTTACTGAGTTATTTAAATAAACTAATATCGTGATCTGTGCAAAAATTATTAGCTCACCAAGGAAATAGTTAACTGCATTTCATTAAACATTTATTACCCCAAGCTTTTATATTGTATATAAAGTTTCTTTATAATTCCTCCCAATTTCTAACCAAAGTCAATTCTTTATATCAAAGTAGGATAGTTATTTAACAATACAAGTATAATATAAATATTTTTTTTATTATTTTCTTGGAACCAGAACTTTTTGCCCAGGAAGTAATAAGTAATTATTTCATATAAAATAAAAAGAGGAGATATGATTGCCAAACGAGACAACTCTCCACCAGAGACCAAATGACATAGGATTTAACAACTATCAGTCACCTACAGCCTTCAACCATGAGCAAAACTCATACCATTAGTCCATATCCTTTAGGAAATATGCCATAGTAAGCAAGTATATCATCTGTTTGCTCATCCGTCTACAACTTCCAATCACAATTAAAGGATTGAATTGTTTTTGCCTAAACTTTCAAATAATCTTCAGTATCTGTTGGCATTGTGTATATTTTTTTCACATCCAAAGGTTCCCCAATCGAAGAATGGACTTTTCCATTTATAAAATTTTATTACTCATATTGAAGGATAGGTTGGTTCAGCTGATAAGAACATAGATTTCGTTAGAGCAAGATTCTGCATTTATAAATCCTGTAATTTGGTCAATCTTCAACGACCACTTCAATATTTATGTTCATTCATTTTTCTATTTTATCCACTAAGAAGAGTTAAAAGCATAATAAATGTCTGATCTCATTATGTAAATTTATATTTTGAATTGCATGTATAATCAAAATATATAAACTCAATCATACTAAGGCTTGGTATAACAAGATTTGACAGTAAAAACAAATAAAATCACATAAAAACCACTAAAATCAGATAAAACAAGATAAAACACAAATCTTGTTATAGCAAAGCCTTATAAAATTTACATTAAAGCTACAGTGGTAATATATATCAGTGTGAACCCCAAATTTATTTTGAATTTAAGTCAGTAAAATTGTGTCATAATGAGATCCAAATACTAAAAACATGATTAAAAACAAATATATTTGAACCAACCTATCCTTCACATGATAAAATGGTGGTATGAGATGCTTCTTTCCCTTTTTTTTCAAATACTTAGGAGGTCCATACATTACAATTGAGAACCCCAAAATTGCATTATAATAAAATAAAATACACACAGCCATTAGATACAGAAGATAATCTGAAAGTTTAAATGAAAACCTTCCAATAGTTTATAAGCTGTGGATGAGAGATGATAATGGACAAACATTGACAGACAAATCTTCTTTAATAACCTTTTTATGCTCAACATGAGTGCAGATGGGCATGGGATTTGGTCCTGCCCTGGTTCATATCAAAGAATTGAAAATTGGTATTTGATGCTCCCCTGCTATTAGCATTCAGCAATTAGGAGTAGGAGCAAAGACTGGTCAGCTGGAAGTCAGAATAATGTGTTCAGGTAGGGTTAGATGTCTTGTGCAGACTTTTACATTATGAACTAGCGCATTAAAAAAATCTTGCATTTTTAATTACTAGTATCCATCCATAATCATAAATGAGAAAAAAATATAGAAATCAATCACACAAAAAATGAGAAAATATGACAAACTGCAAAAACTATGTAATTATTTTCACTTGAGTGGTCTCAGATGCTGAATAATGCATTTATAATATATAAACAAAACCAATAAATAAAACTGACAGCCATTAATTTGTATGAATGTAAAGAATGCAGAGTCAAAACAAACCATCTAACTAAACATTTTTATTTCTAGTTCATATTGCACCAAAAACTCAGTACTTAAATTGTTTAATAGGGGATTTGTTTTATTCCCTTTTAGTGTTTGGCCATCAAAGTCCTACTTAATAGGTTTCTAACCAGAAAAAAATCATTTCACAAAGGACTTATAATTCTTAACCAGTGTACATAACTTAAAAAAATATATGTAAACTGAAGCAAGTCTTATGGGTATCTTGTGAAACCATACATCATACCTTTGGGACCTCTCAAATAACAATAATTTCACAGTTTTTTTTTTATATTTCTTCAATCACAAAACAATAAATGAATGCAAGAAAAAATAATGAAATAAATATTTATAATTTGAATAATAAAGCATTAAAAATTAAATGCATTTATAATTCATTCTGCTTATAAGACAAATATCTACTGATCTTTTTTTACAAAAGATAGCAACAGTTCATCCAATGGTATGCAGGATTGTAGTCTGAGGATTTTACCATACAAGGAAGGCAGCAACAGCAACTCTTTCGACTGAAAAAGAAACAAAGTTAAATTTCCATTGTTGATTCTTAATTTTAAAATAATCTAACAGGAATAAAGAAACAGACATCAGTGTATGTTAAACAATTTGTTTATTACTTATATTGATTACTCAAAAATATATAGTATCAAAAATATCCGATTTTATTGTTATCTCCCCTTCATATATCTTCTTCAGATCTAGTATCTGCTTTAAAGGGTACATTATTTTAAAATGAAAAGATTGAATACTGATTTTTTTTAATTGTAAATTAAAAAAAAATATGTATATTGAAATCTATTTAGTGACATTCATCACACTATAACATAAACACATTAAAGTTGTATGTTGATGGATAAGTTCTCACCTTATAACAGCTTTATCCCAGCAAGTAACCCAATGGAAACCTGATGCTAACCTGGAATATAAAAGTAGTCAGTTATACTAAACTTTCCTAAAAAAAATTATTACACATGTACTAAATTTAAAATTGCACTAGGATAACAAAACAATCATGGAAAAAATATTTGGTATTCTGAATTATAAACTCAAGTTTTATATTTACCAAAAAAATTCAACCGGTATCTCATCAGTGTAAAATTATTTTTTTGGTACTAATTAACCTTATGAAATTGATTTCAAATATTATATTACTAAAAAGATGCTTGATTACCTACCAACATGTTAACAATATCAGACATCCAAGTCTTACTCCCAACACCATGAAAACTATGGCGTACGGAAAGGGTCAAAAGTAAAAAGAGGTGCATAAGCTATAAAATATAGCTTATGCTGCTTTGTAGCATAAGCTATATTTGACGTCCCAAAAGGGTCAATATATATTTGTCTGGTTATGCTGCAGTTTTATCGCATATGCTATATCACCAACATTGACTATGCTATATTTTTGAATTGTAGCATATGCTGTACTATTTCAAACACATCATTAAAGGGTCAAAACTCGAAAGAAGCATAGGCTGTATAATTTATTTTGATTAGACTGTATATCTTACTGTTGGAAGGCGTGTTTAACGAATCTAGTCAATTATCATCACTAAAGTATCCGCCCTTTTTATCAGTACTTATAGAAATGAAATGTATAATGCGATAATTTGAAAACAAAAAAAAACTTTTTTAATGATCAAGTCCGAGTTTATTGAAAAACAAATCATTTTTTAATATTATTACATTTTATATATTCATATGTTTTGCCTGGTATATTAGTGGATTTTATCACACTGGCACCGGATAATTTTAAAACAAGTGGAATGGAAACGCGGCATACATGAACAATAATTTTCCTATATCATCTCTGTCTCGGGTGATGTATTAATTATGTACCCAGCAGAGCCTTTTCGCTAACAAATATTCACATGTACGTCCCTGCCGTGGCAATTAAGGGCATATCCAACAGTTTATTTCTGACGGTGAGAATTTTTCCCTTTAAGATATATAGGCTATTTTTTACCTGCTTAAATCAAATATGTAATAAAAAATATACCTTCATGTGCTACTTTTTGAGTAAAATGAGGTCAAAATTTCAGATATTTGCTCAAAATTCGGATTTGTGGACGTATTTTTCCTCCCGACAGATGTGCATAACTTTTTTGTTTTAAAAGATAAACAGATAAACACAAGCTGTTTTTTTGTTAAATTATTTATAAGTTCTCTTTTATATAAGTATCCTATAAATTTATGAAATATTTTGTTTAGAAATAACTAAAAGGACAAGCTAGGTACGATAAGCATCAGAGAACGGCCCCCGATTTCGATTCAAATTAAAAGTGATATGCCATAAATTATAGTACTATATTTTTAAAGTTTAAAACCTATATTTTTGTAAACATCAATAGATTTGTCAACTTTAGCTGATATTATTCATGCTTTGTTGCTGTAAACACCTCAAGATTCGCGAAAACGGCAGATAAATGGCAGTTTCCAAATCTTTTTCTGCATTTTAAACTATGAGCGTACCTACGGCCCACGATAATATTTAAACCTAACATTCCTTGAATATAAATGTTGATGTAGTTCAAATACCTTAGTGGGCCGTAGGTACGCTCATAGTTAAAAATTAAAAAAAGGTGAAAAAAAATCGTCAGTTTTCATTGAATCATCGAAATATTTAAACGAACTGCGGACCGGAGATGATTTCCGGTATTCGCTGGATTCGACAAAAAGACTTTTCTTCGTGCTAAAATTGCTAGTTTTTTACGACAAATTTTACATCTACGAGAAAGGAACACAGAATATTCCTGTATTTATTATTGTATGAATTTAAAGTGAGATTATAGCAGATTGTCGGGGTTTGACACAAATCAGAAGGAACTGTGACAAACTGCAGAGAAATTTTGGGAATGTAAATCACTAACTGAAACCAAAGTTATTAAATAACTGGTTCATCCTAAAATAGTTCCTTTTTGACTAAATTTCAATATTTGGAACACTGACACAGACGTTGATTGGCATGTCGAAGCATACATATGATATGTCTTTGTAGCGTAAAAACTGCACAGATTTGTTAAACATGTTATCCATGGAATGGTGTATTCTAAACAAAAACAAGTTTTGACTATAAATTCTATACTCAACAGATTGATAATGGCAATGAATGGTGTCAACATTAAATGTTAGTACAACTTTACCCGTCAGAAACACGTATTTTGTTTTATAAATGACGAAATCGTGGCCCTGGAATCTATTAATCTCCGTTGACGCTTTTGTGAAAAGTCCTTTCTTTCACGTCCGCATTTCTTTCATGTATGGCATGCCAAGTTAACATTTACGGCAATCATTACGAAAATAAATTACAGAACTACAGAACAGTAAATAATAACATACATTGTATCATACGACATAAGACGACACCATGCATGTGATAATTTTAATTATTTAATTGTGAAACTGTAACAGTAATAAAGATCAAACAAAACTATCCAACACTATTGCGAATTAATATTGTGTAATTTTTTTACCATGATGTTTATAAAAAAGAAGATGTGGTATGATTGCTAATGAGACAACTCTTGACAAGTGACCAAATGACACATAAATAAATTAACAACTATAAGTCACCGTACGGCCTTCAACTATGAGTAAAGCCCATACCTCATAGTCAGCTATAAAAGTCCCGAAAATGACAAATGTAAAACAATTCAAACGAGAAAACTAACGGCATAGTTGATGTACAAAAAATGAACGAAAAACAAATATGTAACACAGTAACAAACGACAACCACTGAATAACAGGCTCCTGACTTGGGACAGGCACATACATACAGAATGTGGCGGTGTTGAACATGTTAGCGGGATCCCCTAACCTGGGACAGTGGTGTAACAGTACAACATAAGAACGAACTATAAAAATCAGTTTAAAAAGGCTTAACTCATCAGATGGATACAAATAGAAATGCATCTAACAAAAATTTGTTTGTATTTATTGTACTAATGATTTGTAATTGTCCCCCGCCTTCCCGCTGCTCTTTTTCAACGACAACGCGTGCAACTTCGTATTTCTTGTCTGAAAATTGTTCTCTACATTACTTTCCGTCATAAACATTCATGAAGTATTTGTCACTGGACGGTCAGAAAACAACATTCAATCAATCATATCTCCTCTTAATTTGCAGTACTATAATGACTTTAAACATACTTAAATAAATAAAAATGGTTATTGTTTTAATCAGATATTCATACGTCAAAGAAAAGAAAAAAAAACGCGAATATTGAATATCAAAGGAAAAAAATGCATCATAGTCCAAGATATCATGCTTGTAATTTTGTATGTGTGTTTCGTGTACAAAAGGTCGTTTAAAAAAGTCATTAGATCATAAAAGGCCCAAGATTCCGGAACGTTTTGCCAAATACAGATCAGGTTATCTATTCCTGAATATAAAATTCGTAGTTTGTCAAACTAAGCATATCTCCAACACTCTTGTGTTTGCTATACGCAACAATTGGTGCTGTATTGAATATTTGTACACAATCTTCGTCTAACTGTAATAAATGCCCGTGTTTCATAATACGTTTCTTTATTTTACGTATATATGGATTATATTTAGTTATTAAAACTAATGGAATATTTTGTTTTTCTTCTGATTTGTTTTGTTGTAATAATTCAGTACTGTCAATTGATAAAGCATCAGTAATACTATCATCTATTTCCACGTTATCATAACCCCTATCTAATAATTTCACTTTGAAATTAGTTAGATTGTTTATTAATTTGTTATGGTCACTTGTGTTTCTAATTTGCCGTATTGCTTCACCTTTAATAAATCCTCTGAATACATGCTGTGAGTGACAGCTATATCTGTGCAGAAACAGATAAGAATTGGTTTCTTTAAAATGTAGTCAAGGTCAAGCATGCCATGTGTTGTAAATCTTTGACCTTTGATTACATCAACATCTAAGAACGACATTTTATCGTTTGAGATTTCATATGTGAACTTTAATAAGGAGTTATAATTATTTGCTAGACGAAACGAATCTATAATTTAATCTAGATTTGCAGATTTTAACTAAACAAATGATTAACTACGCAAACATTACTCCAAGTACAGTACTTGTCTGTACTTCTACAAGGAGGGTTAATATTTAAAAAGAGAGACAAACGATACCAAAGGAACAATCAAATTCAAAGGTCGAAAACAAACCGACAAAGCCATGGCGAAAAACGAAAACCGACGAGAAGACAAACAGCAGCCAACATATCACAGCATAGAAAACAAAAAACTTAGCAACACGAAACCCATTTAAAAACTGGGATGATCTCAGATGCACCGGAAGGAAATTAGATCCTGCATTTTGGCCACGGAGGATTTTTTTTCAAATATGAAAGTAATTGTGCAAAAACAATCTTTTTTAGAAAGCCTTCAAAGTTTGTTTTTATGAACATCAAGATTATTTTTCACTCGTTTTATGGGTTATTTTCTTTTTGACAGTCCGTATTTTCCTTAGATCCAGAAATTTTTGTAGTACAAAATGTATATGTTTCAACACAGGGAGAAAATTTCGCACCCGGTGGCGGGCTACATCTGGCCCCTAAAAGAAAATGTGTACTAATTCATTGAAGAGGTCCCTGACTTGGGAGAGGCACAAACATGCAGCGGGGCCAAATGTTTACAAAATTTTTTTTTTCACACGATCTTTTTGACGCAACTTTACAAAAAAATGAGACGAAAGTCAAATGATTTTTATTTGATCTCTTGATGGATATATGTGAACAGTTTGAGAAAAGGTATCACTCCAAGGGATTGAAATTTCAACTTTTGACCAAATTTTGAGGAAATGTGTGACACCTTTACACCACTTTTAGCAAAAACATGTAGGTTTGTGCCATGGATACGTCAAAAATACATTCTAGCTTTAACCTTTCAACTTCTGGATATCAAATCTATACAAAATACTGATTACATACATATACACAAATATGACACAAACAGTAGGCTTAATTTGTGAGAAAGGAAAGAAAAAGGGCTGGTAAAATTTATGTATATTGTTATCTAACATAAGTACCAATATGAGGACAAATCTCATTTCATGATGTCATTTTCAAGAAAAGAGCAACGAAAGCTACCATAACATATCAGCTTCCTACTCTACTTTGAGGACTATTTTATAAACATTTGGGGTCTTCTTTGTTGAACTCCTGCAAGTCTTTTATTTTGCCCATACAGCTGTCGTCGTGTCAACCTCTGTCTCACCTAGATTCTTTGGCGCACGTTGCTG